CCCCCCCCCCCCCCTCCCACAGAGAATCAAACGAGCCACCGAGCGGACGGCGGGTATTATCGACTCTAGGTAACGGCGCTTTCATCCAAGCGGGATATAAACGGCGACTCCGTTGTTGCCCCGACTATAATTCTCTGTCACAAAATCGAATTTGTCATTTTGTAAATATCGCGATACCTTGATCTCTGTCACTTTTTGTATCATCGTGTGTATGCGCGCGTGTGTGTGTGTGTGTGTGTGTGTGTTGCTGTGAGGAAAATAAATTATTATTTTTACTAAGTTCACACATTACATTGTCGAGCGTGTGTGCCGCTCGGCGGCAAGCATCTTATAAAAGAGAGAGAGAGAAAGAAACAAAACAAAGTGCCAAGGTCCGGTTCCGCCGAAGGGAACTTTTACCTCCGAACTCGACGCGACCTTCGACGTGGAAGAGAGACGCCGTCGTCGTCCCCGTGCTCATCAACACGACTCGCAGAGGCCCGTCGGGAAAAACGAACGCGCACGATAACAAGATCTCCGCGCCGAGGAGGCCGAGAACCCGGTGGAACGAGGTAGGTGGGGTCCATACGGGGGCGGTGGATAAACTGCCCCTAAAAATAACGAATCGATATTCGCCCGCTGCCCCCAAATCAGTCGCCGGACTCGCCGGGTCACGGAGAGACACGCCGCAGGAAAAAAAAATCAATTCATTCACCGTTATGTTATCCGGCCGGTGTCCTCCGTCCGTCCTCCTCCTCCCGTCGGCGTGCTTTCCTCGGTGTTTCGGGGCGCGCGCGAGGTCGACGACGATCGGGGACGCCGCGTGGCCGGAGCGGAGAGGCGCGGATCTCCGCGAGTCGTCGCCTTTTACGCGCATCGTACGGACGCCCGATGTGTCGATGCGCACCGGAGGTGCACCGTTCGCGGCGAGACGCATCGCGACGTAATCGTTTACATACGGAGGAGATTACGTCAGTGGCTCGTCGTATTGCGACACCGGGCGAGGCGGTCTCACGTTCCCAAGGTCTTCCGGCTTCGGAATGGTCCGAACGAGCGAGCGAATCTCGACGCGCCTTCCAGTCGCTTCCCGAGCGAATCGCCCTCGAGCAAGTCGGTTTCGGGTATCTTATCGCCCTCGATAGCGGCCGGGATTTAGTAATACCGGGGGGAGTATTTCTGTCGTCCGTTTCGCCGGCCGATCGAAAATGGGAGCGGCGGTCGAGCGCGCGCGTCGAAACGCGCGTTTCTCACCTCTACGGAGATACGCCGATTCCGACCGTATTTCGGTGTATCGCCGTGACGAGCACGCGAGAGGACGCGTCTTCTCGTACATGCGGGAAGAATCTCGTCGGTATATGAAAGAAGTGATCTTGCCGGGGAAATTCCCGACGCCGCAAATATCGCTGCTCATTTTGCTCGGAAGAGAACGCGATGAATACGTGTCACCCTGACGTGGTACATCGTCCGCATCGTGCGACGAGAATTTCGTCAGTACGTGAAATAAGTCGTCCGATGCCGGGGAAATTGCGGCGATATTCCGGTGTCGTGAATATTGCCGATCGTTTCACCCGAAGGGGAACGCGATGGATCTGGAATTATTGTAATAACGAAGAAGGTAAAAAGTAAGTGAGATGTCGATACTTTGATGAGAATTATGACGTGATAAATGAGTACTTGTAAAGTAAGTATTATGAAGCGTATTATAAACATGTGCTGTTGCAATGTCATCACGAGGTGTAATATGTTAAATATTCGCACGCCATGTTCAGCATTTCCGTCTATCCGAATACATTTGCGTTTCAGTCGACACCGAGCGTCACTTACGCAACATTTGTATTATAATTTCGCGCTCAACGTACAAACGTAATATAAACGTAACGTGCGGTGCGTTGTGTTACACTTGCCATTGTTCAGTGCGAAATTATAAAATAACTGTAACACAACTGACCTCCCCGGCGTCGACTGGGGCATTTGTTTCCGAATGAAAAGGGAAACGGAGGCCCCACGGACATTCCAAAATGATGATACTCTGAGCGTATCCATTATACGGTAATTTGATGATCGAAGAACGAAACGGATGGCCCGAGGTCATTTTCGTCGCTTACGAAGTGTTTCGAAACTGGAAAAATTTCCCAATTCAAAGCCGAGGAGGGGCCGATGCTGACATTATTTCCCCTCGAGATACGGACACGTGATTCAAGGGTTCGATGTTTCTCCTCGGGTTTCTCGTTATTCCGCCCCCATTCCGCGTACTCGATGTTCCTATAATCACCGCGCGCGTCGTCGAAATGTCAACAGTTATCAGCATCGCGTACGCGCACATCGCCGACATGATTTACCCGCGGACTACCGAGTACCCCTGGAAGGTGTCCCCGCGGCGTAAAGGGTCGCGCGAGGGAGGAAAAATAAAATAAAATAAAAAATAACCCGGTCGCGCGCGCGTAGCCGAGGAGAAAGGCGCGCGTTCTCGCCTGGCGAGAGGCAACCCCTCGTATAGCCGAGGATTCAGGGTGGATAAAATTGCTGGGTACGCCGGGCGTTGGTAAGGCACCCGCGGCGCGAAGCGAAGGGGGCCGCACAAGGGGGGGGGGG